AGAGCACGAGGGGGGACGGAGCGTTGACTTCATTAGACGAGACCTCTCCAACTTAACGTTTAGGTTCAGTGTGCCTCTAACCATTCGGTGATCGCTGCCAGTTTTCACCCTTGCGATCACTGAGGACAGTTGGCGTCTGGTCGTCATAATGAAGTCAATCTCGTTTTTTGTCGAACCGTCGGGACTCGACCAGGTCCACTTTCTGTGGGGCCGCTTCTGGAAGAAAGAGTTCATCATAAAAAGTCCCTCTTTCTCCATGAAGTCGGCCAGCTGCTGACCCCTTGGGTTCCGTTGCCCTATCTCAAATTTCCCTACCTTCAGCTCACCGTTCTTTCTTGTGCCCAGTTTTGCGTTGTCACACCCAGAAAGCTCCATGATCTTCTCGTCAGTCCTCAGGGTACGTGCGTTAAATGTTGCCAAGTCGAGTCGTCGTAGGTGGCAACCGAACCTCCACCGGAGATTCGTAGCACCCCCTGCCCCGCCGTTACCATGGTCGCCACCGTAGCCAGGAATGTATTATGTATATTTATGTAATATATAAATTAGCAGGGCCGCCGGGGACTGGGGGCCATCTATTTGTGTAATTCTTCACGGGGGGTGTATTTAACTTTTTATTGTCCTTAAATTGCACCACCAACACTATTATTAATTAGAGAAGGCCATAGGGCATTAAGTCCGCCCTTTGTAGCCCCTAGTTGAAGTTGTTGCAATAAAGGATAAAATAAATAAATATATTACTTTTATCGTGTTGTCCATTTTAAATCCTCAAGAAGTACTAACTGATTTACCCTTCGAGTATTTATAAAGATCATTCGAGATTCTGATGGGAATCTGGTATAGCATTAAATGAAATTTGTAACGAATTTCTTGTAAAATGCAGGTAAATAGGTACCTACCATTACTTCATCCTCAGTACTATCTATCTTCGTAGTTAGAGTTCATAGACTGCGACCAGGTAATGTCTTTCCTTTGTTTCATTTATTTTCGCGTGCAGAAGCATACAAAACGACAAAGCAGATATCGACCGATTCGTTGCTATGCGGTCAGCTGTTGCCTAACTTAAGTGATTGTAAATTTACTAGTTTTTTAATAAGATAATGGTGACAAACGAGCACACAGTCAACCTGGTAGTAGTAAGCGATTGCTGTGGCCTATAGACATCTACATCTATTCTTGATTTCTGATCAAAATGCAGATGCGCTGTCACCCGTGAGGACTAAGATTGAATGCCTCGGCCTCAGTAAAATAGGTTTCCGGTCCTCTACACTCAGCATACGAGCATTGAGCTGCTATTCTGTGAGTGCGTGGTGCTTCCCCAGTCAAGCCGATTCGTTCGTGCTACAGCTATTAAACTACTAATATAGCTGCAGCATGGCTCTACCACGTTAATCATCTATTATTAATTCGCTTGCCTCATTGGTCGCGGATTCGAATTCCAATAACTTCTCAGTAGCAGTCCGAAGTCGGGATGTTAACGATGTTTCACCTCCTACGGAGTAGCAATCTAAATTTTTAAGTATGTCTTTTTATAGGGGAGGGGCAAACGAGTATGCGGCTCACCTAATGGTGGTAAGACTACCGCCCATGAACAACCGCAACACCAAGGGAATTGCAAGTGCGTTGCCGGCCTTTTAGAAGGGAGTAATCTCTTTTCTTGAGGGTCCCTAAAAATTGCGGATGGTAAGCAATTTCAGAGAAATTGTACGAGGAAGAAAACTCCTAGTAAAACGCACAGTGGTAGACTGCATTCGGATGGTGAGTGAGTGAATTTTGACACATTTTGTTCGTGAAATTTGGCGGCTGGGACTAATTCGAACAATTCCTTAGAGCACTCCCCGTGGTGTGCGATCGCGAGATGCGATAAAAAACGCAAAGGGATGAACATCCCTACGCAGCGCCAGTGAATCTAGCCGATCAGAAAGGACTCGGTCGTCGAATAGATCTGCACTCGGGTGCCCCGGCCCAGAGATGAGAACAGTATTCCATGTGAGGCCGAACATCCGCTTCGTAAAGTTGCAGGCGGTGTACCGACATGAAATACTGTTTCACTCTGCTGAGAACGCCAAGCTTTTTAGAGGCCAATTTGGCCTTCCCTCCAAGTGACCACGCAACTGCTCACTATTCGATATGTCGACGCCGAGGATTCCGATGCTAGCTGAGGCAGCAAGGGGAATGCCTTGAAACTGAGGAGATACGACAAAGAGGTTCTTTTTACACATCTATTTTGGAATCTTAAAGATCTTCATAGTTAACCCTTCTACTCTTGGTTGTAAATCGAGAAGTTTAGGACATCGTAAGTAAAGACAGTAATTCTGTGATATTTTTCACTATATTCAACAATGCCGTTTTTTGCTATATAGAAATAATAAAATAGGAAAGGGTTTTAAGGAAAAAAAAACAATTATTTTTTTAAACATTTATTCACTACACAATTACATGTTGTATAGGTTTTTCATATGATTAATATTCTAAATATTAATTAAATTATTTCATGCAACAATAACTTTTGTATTTACTATGTTATACACAAAATCTAACAAAATATACTTTATGCATACTCCGTTATGCAACAAGCGCTACATCTGCTCATAAGACAGGCGTGTACAAGGTACAAGGCACAAAATGTTATACACTAATTGTCACTGCTTCTAAACATCCTTACACAAATGAAGGTGCGTTACCTTTATCCAAATATTAATGCAAACTAAAATTCTTAGATTTCAAAGACAATATTCAATCATAATTCCATAGAATACCATTTTGCTCTAAAAAATAATTTAATAGCCGAGGTTTTAAATAGAAAAACAATTTTTAAAAAATATTTATTGACTATACAATAACATGTGTATTTATTAATTAGGTTATATTTAAAATCTAACATAATATACTTTAATACTCCGTTGTGCAACAAGCGCTACATCTGCTCATAAGACAGGCATGTATAAGGCACATAAAGTTAAAAACCAACAGTCATTGGTTCTCTACACGAATGAAGGTGCGGTACCTCTTCCCAAACATTAATGCAGACTAAAAATCTTATATTAGAAAGACAATATGTAATCATAATTATCATCCATAGGGGAAACTACAACTAACTGCCTCTGCGGGCACAATGTTAATATAGGGTTACAATATATCGTAAATCTAAATAACTTAGGTACACTATTAGGTACACTCGCTCATATTCAGTTCGTTTTCGAATCCTAGCTGTGATTTGTAAACTTTTATAACTTCCGACACATATATATTACCTTTTTATATACGTGTATTGTTTATGATTGCGATCTCTGCCATCGAAATTTCAGTTGTGAATATTCTAAACTCGTTTAAACGCGAGTCAGCACACGAAAATATAATCAACTAAATTAAATTATAATCTACTAAAAAAATAACTAAACTATCTACAGACCTAAACAGAGGACTCGTAAGAGCTAGTGCTACCTCTTGTTATTTCCTATTCTACATCATCTCGACAACAAGGAGGTGTAAGCTTCTTTTATCCGGGGATCAATTACAAGAGTAGTTTTGAACAATTATGTTGATTTGAATGATAATCATTCCTTTAAAACCATAGACAATATAAGTGCGCTCTATGAACATTTTAAATCTGTGTTTTGTTTTTTTTCTTGATGGCGATCTCTGCCTACGAAATGTCAGTTGTGAATATTCTAAACTCCTTCAAACGAATCAAATATGAGTAAGCGGAAGAAAACTTACGATATACTATTAAAACTAGAATAATAATAGCGGGAATAACTTCAACTGAAACCCCCTACCCCCCTCCCCTCCTCTCCCATCCCCTCCTCTCTCATCCCCACCTACAACTTAAACAGACTTAAAAATAAACAATTGCACAATTAATATTGCATAATATAAGAATATAAAAATATATGTATTTGTATTTAATATTACGAAAAAGCTACGATATTTACTTACTAAGCGATATCGTTAACACATAAAAGAGTTAGTTTGTTTCATGAACAAATGAGGCGAAAGTTAGTAAAATGACGATATAAAAAATTGTCCTAATATTTGATTTTTCTGCAGGTCTGTAGTCTCAATAAATAATAGCAGTATTACTTATTAAAAATCTTTCTTGTAATAAACAATTGTTCCAATATGTAGTTAGATGTTTAATCAGAACAAAAATTCCGAAATTTACTTTCAAATAATAAAATTTAACAGACAAGACACCAATAATACGGCACAACAAGGCAGTTTGCTATGCATATCTTCATTTACATTATAATTTTGATTCACTCATTTCCTTTTTTCACGATTTAGTGATTACTCAAGATAATGGAAAATTAAATTAAAAAAATCTCACTTTCCACATAACACAAGACAAAAGAAACCCCAACTCGACAAAAGTCGAAAAGGATTAGGGGTCGGTTTCTGATTTCTCAAATTTCGTAAACGACAACAAATCTCCTAAATTATAGCTATTAATATCATGAAACGCACATTGGAGAACTGTTGTAAAAAAGTGTAAGCATTTCACATTTGCTTGCATACATAACTGTTTTCCTTAATTTATAAATTTGGTTTTCGTGTCGCAAAATAATTCGTACAAATACACAAGATAAATATTTTGTAAAATAGCTTTTCATCAATCAATCATATAATAATAATCATCAGTATCATCAGTTTAATCTTTATTTTGTTTTTATATTTTAATAGTTTTGATAATGCATATATATCGGGGGAGTCCTCACACTCCACACTTTTCTATAAATTTCAGTGTCGATGATCTAGTAAGGCAACAACACAGCTTCATTTACTTAAAATCTAAATACTTTAAACAGAACAGGATATGCAACTTTTATCAAATAGCATATGCTTCTGATACACCAACTTATGGAAATTTAAAACAGTACGATTTTTCGTTATTGATTTTCAAAATACCATTAAAATATTCAAAAAGTCATAAATACATAAGTAAATATGTAAGTTATTCTTTTCATCTTTTATACATTTGTAAACTTCAGTGGTATGGAAATCTAGTTGCTGGTTGCGCTCAGTAACAAAGTGTTGTCCTCCAGCTGTTCCAACCGGTAAGTGGAATTGTCAGGCATGTGGCGAACCAGGTCGTCTGTCAAACGAACCCTTGCACCATTGGGCCCCAATACCAATACTGTTTCAAAGTCCTAAAACAATAATACATGTATGTGTCCTATAATAGTAAAATGTGAAGTTATTATCTGACTTACACACACACACACACACACACATACATACATACACATATATATATATATATATATATATGCACAAACTTAACGATTTTGCTTATTGAAATGATTTCACACAAAGTTAATACAAGCCAAGGAAGTATACAATCTTTACTCTTTTGTCTGCTTTAGATACAAATACTAAGAGAATTTGTAATGATAGACTCGATGTAACGGATATAGTCTACTGGATCTACTAAACCCAAGCTGAAATCTCACATAAGATTTTAAGTTTCGAGTGCGTTCGTGCGTACATCTTGCGCGCGCCGCCTTAGACATGTATATTTTCTAATCTAAAAGTTATAATGATAATATATAAGTGGTGATATAGGTAAGTAGTGGTAGTATTTCAATTGTAGTTTACTTCAAGTGTGTTGTAAATTTGATCTACAACCTCACCACAGATCAGTACACTTACGTCGTCAGAGTTGTGGAGGAGCGCTCTGAGCTTGTGCAGCATCTCGTGCACGCGACAGCTGTGCAGGTAGAGCGCGCTGTACACGTCATCCAGTACATTACCTTGTTCACAGAGTTGTGGAGGAGCGCTCTGAGCTTGTGCAGCATCTCGTGCGCGCGACAGCTGTGCAGGTAGAGCGCACTGTACACGTCATACAGTACATGACCTTGTTCACAGAGTTGTGGAGGAGCGCTCTGAGCTTGTGCAGCATCTCGTGCACGCGACAGCTGTGCAGGTAGAGCGCACTGTACACGTCATACAGTACATTACCTTGTTCACAGAGTTGTGGAGGAGCGCTCTGAGCTTGTGCAGCATCTCGTGCACGAGACAGCTGTGCAGGTAGAACGCGCTGTACACGTCATCCAGTACATTACCTTGTTCACAGAGTTGTGGAGGAGCGCTCTGAGCTTGTGCAGCATCTCGTGCACGCGACAGCTGTGCAGGTAGAGCGCGCTGTACACGTCATCCAGTACATTACCTTGTTCACAGAGTTGTGGAGGAGCGCTCTGAGCTTGTGCAGCATCTCGTGCGCGCGACAGCTGTGCAGGTAGAGCGCACTGTACACGCCGCCGCCCGCACACACGTACACGGTCAGGCGCGGCTCGATACGTCTGCAGTAATACGCACTCGTCATTACACACGAAAATAACATTCTTGCACATCACAAATCCTGGCACTAAACAGTAGTCAAACCTTTTGTTGGTTTGAAAGATAATATTAATAAAGCTTAGTATATTTACAGGTTTTAAGTTAATTCTACTCTAGTCGTCAAGGACGACAATGCATCGGTTGTCTTAAGTACGTAAGTGTAGAGAACCGAATACCCTTTTTACTGCTGACGAGGGGTGACGAGCTGTCACTGACGACGTATCTAAACTTTGATTCTCAATGGAGGATAGATGTAGTAGATATCTATTAGCCACAACATCCACTTACCATCAGGTACACTGTGTGCTTATTTTTCACCCTTATTAGATTAATAAAAAATGTATATAACACTACTTACACTAATTATATATTAATCGAATCCGCCATTCGACTACTGGCGTGAACCACTAGTAACAAAAGCAATTTAAGCTTACTACGAGTGGTTAAGGGGAATATTAGTAATGTTTATAGAATAGTTAATATTTAAAAAAAAAACTAAAACTAAAAAAATAATACTCTTTAAATTACAATACGATTAATACTTACTTGGCATGCAAAGCATTAAATAGGCGTATTCCGTCGGCCAAGCCACAGATCTGTATAATGTCATCACGGGATAATCTGGTAACAATGTCAATTTGATTAGCATATACATAATATAGTTATGATCTGATATATGATAGAATTTGTGATGTTGATGTCGGCAGTAGAACCAGAGTAGCCCACATAGCTTGAAGGAACTACAACCGACGAGAAGATTCTCAATTGGTAGCCTCATACCATCCAATAAGTGAAATATATGACAGCCTCTCACTAAATCAAACGATGACCTGATAAAGAAATTGATGGATGCAGGTAGCTTAGGTCAGTGTTTTGTGGCATTCCTTGGGGTAGGCACATAGAATAGTATAGTAAATACATCATAGAACAGGGGAGTGGGCGGAGCCCGTGTAGCCACTAAATTGTCAACTCACACGTATAACTGTCAACACGAGATGTATTTTGACGTTACAGTTGTTTCCAAATTTCGCATTTAGAAAATGCCAAATTGCACAATATTTACAAATAAATATGCATTAAAATTTAAACTTTTTTTTTAAATGATGATCTTGAACATTAATCAAAGAGTCTAAAATGTGTAAATTTACTCTGTCAACACAGCGAATCTGGTTCGTAGTAGTGATAATACGACGTAGTTACATAATATGTGTGCTTCCGGCTACGCCGACCCTCGTACAAAATAATGTTGACAGCCATTCTATTGTGTATTATAGTATTCTATGGGTAGACACGAAGGGTTAAGCACTGACTTCTTAAGACTTTAATGATGATGATGACATATGAGGGAAGGTATCAAATTAGGGATCAAATTAAACATGAAATTATTTTTGCTTTTTGAATTATTCTCCATTAACCCTAATACACTTCACAGACCGTTCAAATAACTAAATACCTTCGAAAAAATTGTTTTATCAGGGTCCTCAGAATAGGCAGACTACTTCTTTGTTACCAGTAAATTTCTTTCGCTGAAACTCGGTCTTTTTAAAAGCTTTCATTTAACTTCTGAAGCTATCGGGCTAAAATTTGGCACACACGTTTGATTCTTGAGACAAATGCACGATTACTTAAACGCAGCCATTTTTAATTCAATATTGCGGGCGTTACAAAATAACGAATAGAAGGAGAGTTGGTCGAGCAAGCATTTCTATAGTTAATGTTCACTTCCAGATTGACTTGTTTATCTTGTGATATCTCAAAGGTTAATGAACCGATCTGGCGGAAACTTGGTATTTACAGTTTTATTGAGTCACCAAGTAGTTACAGTTAAAAAAAATCCCCACTCCCTTATCTAATCCCTCCATTATGCGAACTTTTTGACCCGCCCTCGTAATTGTATTACTTGACAGGCAAGGCAGCCTGCAGTTGTCCATTTTATGCCCTCAATATATATATATATATATATATACATATTTACAAATAAATAAATTTATATTAAATATATTCTTTGTGACGAAATGGGTCACAGATAAATAATCAAAAAAATATAATGAAGATTTATGTCTAACGGTAACACAATGAACTAAAAACTTAACATAACTTACGCTACTAGCACAGACCTTTGTGCAGGCAGCATACTGCCGCTGATATTGATATATTACAATGGGCATGTTAAGAGTTAATAATGGGAAATGTAACAAAGAACTCATGAAAATAGAATAATTATTATATCATGTTATTATACATGACATTAACAACCTGTTTTTATCTTACACAATCACCAATTTGTTGCTTTGAATAATATATTTAATACTACATTATATTTAATACTACATTGTTTGATGACCAGTGAGAAATAAGCGCTAATTTGCGCCATGACGTGTGTCGCATAGTATTGCTCAGTGTTGCCGTACACGCTAAGTATGCAAGCGATGAGTGAAATTTATAACCATCATATCTTACCGGAGCAAGTCAGCGCCCGAAAAGTTGGCAAAGGTGGCGGCATGTTGCGAGAAACGATTCAACGATAGCCACGACTGAGTCTCCGAAGATGTCGCATCCTTTGACAGTCCACAGTTCTGAGGACGAATTGAAACTGTCTTAATAGATACAAACTACTAACGAAATTAATACAAAAAACATGCGTGTAGCTCACCCACGACAGAAGTAAAACCTTCGAATGAAATGAAATATAGAATACAAATACTTTAAATGATTTATTTAATATTATAATCTAAACTACAAGTTCGGCATAAAGTATAAGAAAATATAATTTTATAGTAAATAAATGTAACAATCCTAATGATTTCTTATATATAATATTATAATATTATTAATATGTTCGCGTAAAACACTGTACATTGATTAAAACTACTTTTACGGATTTTTTCGTGTTTTATTTATTTTATTTTTAATACCCGACGTTTCGGGTGCTTTCCAGCACCCATGGTCACGGGGGACTGAAGTGACTGACGTCCCGATGTCAAAGTTAACCCGGAGTACCTTCAGCTTTTTTAATTATTGTCTTTGGTCCGATCTACGCAGAATGAACTAACTGTGGTTTGAAGTCTTGTAGTAACAACTAAACCCAAGCATACCACTGAGGTTTGGCCATTCTTCACTACATGTTTAATCCATAGGCCATCGATCACTAACAAAAATATTAGTTATCGATGCCATAGGCACATGACATCTTCGTACCACAGTTCGTACCTGGTTGAACAACACGGGTAAGCGACGCCGTTTCGGCGGCGTTTACGACTTTTTCCTCGCGAACATTGAGCTATAATCTAAAATAATGCTATTTACAAAATATTACCTTGTCGGGATCTTCAGCAGCTTGAGGCAGATCTGGCAAGATGGAACCAGGCGAGTGACATGGCGGACTGGTCACTTTGACATCGCCTTCACTGAAGAAACAAAAAGATTTTGTCAATATTCATGAAAAGCTTAAGTAAGTTTACTAGGTGGTATGACTTCTCTGACTCGGAATCTGTCTAAGTAGGTCTTTTTTAATAGGATATGGTGACAAAAGAGCACACAGTCCACCTGACGGTAAGTGGTTGCTGTGGCCCATAGACATCTATCCTCGATTACAAAACAAAAGGCAGATGCGTTGTCACCCGTGAGGACTAAGATGGAATGCCTCGATTCCAGTAAAAAGGGTCTCTGGTTCTCTACACTCACCATACGAAACACAGCAGCAAAATAGGGGATGATTTTTCATTGTGATAGTCTACTCAAAGGGATAATAAAAAAATACTACATTTTTTTATAAGAGAGGGGGCAAACGAGCACGCGGCTCACCTGATGTTAAGTAACTACCGCCGCCCATGATCAACCGCAACACCAGGGGAATTGCAGGTGCGTTGCCGGTCCTTTAGAAAGGAGTACGCTCTTTTCTTGAAGGTCCCCACGTCGTATCGGTCCAGAAAAATCGCCGGTGGGATATTATTCCACAGAAAGGTCGTACACGGAAGAAAACTCCTAGTGAAACGTACAGTGGTGGACCGCTAAGTATCCAGATGGTGTGAATGGTATCGGGAGATTTGCCGCGTAGTGCGTTCATGAAATTGGCGGCTGGGATTAATCCGAAAAATTCCTCAGAGCACTATCCGTAATAGATGCGATAAAATACGCAAAGAGATGCAACATCTCTTCGCAGCGCCAGTGAATCGAGCCGATCGGAAAGCACTCGGTCGTCGACGATTCGACAACGATTGTTATCACACTTTTACCCATAGAAAACTATAGACCGAATAAAGATAACGCGATACAAAGCTACTAAATTGTTACAATGTTCAGAAATTTCGAATAAGCAGCCTGTGTCGCCGTCGCATGTGAACGTCGCTTGTATGTGGTCGGCCGTCCCGGTGTTTGCGCTTTTTTATTCGCAAAATCGAATAAATAGTGGAGTTTGGTGTTTTTTATCGACATTTATTATCGACACGTCGATAATTGACTATTGGTTACTAACCCTTACATGTTTAAACAACAGTCAATTATCGGTGGCGACGGTGTCGGTGTCGCTGGCCGACTATCTTTGATGTGCGACGGAAAAACCGACACCGTCGCCATCCCCAAGACCATCGACGCGCCATAAACCATCCGACACAACTACGCCCTCCACACGCTGGCCCATCATAGTGGGCCATCGCGATGGCCCATCGTGTAGAGGAGCTATTACACGTGGCCCATCCATTCCACAGTTGTGCGCACTCGACGGTTGAGTGTGGAAGTTCGTGCTTTGTTTATTATTTAACGAATTAAAAATGACGAATATGTGACCTCATAATGAAGTTACAAAATTTTTATCACAGGGCTACTAAAATCAGAACATACCTATATGTACATGACTTTTTTTTATTATTAATTATAATTATTTTTGTGTAAAGAAAACTAAATGAACTTAGGACATATTTAGTTTTATTGCGATGGATAGATAACATCCACCATCTTCTTCTACGCCATTTCTTTTTGATAACTCTATTCTTGTGCACATTAAGAAACCAACGTAATGTGTCGTATAGATATATTCCCGCAGCGGCTAATTCTTCCACATCCATCTCGTAAAACGTTTCGATCACAACCATAGATAAATAGATATGTAGATCACAACTGAATGTCGCCATCGTGTAGTTGCGTTTCAACCACTGCATGGCCATCTCGCTGGGCCAGCGTGTAGAGGAGCTATTAGCACTAATTTCAGAATGTCAAATTATTTTATTCTTGTTATTTCTTTGAATTCAGCTTTTATTTTTAATAAAAGTAATTTTTTTTATTGACAAGCCGGGATGAATAAAACATCAAATTCAAGTTTCCAGTAATAGCATAATCTAGTTTAATATCAACACTACAATCACCACTTTATCTAGTATGCATGACAGAAAAAAGTAAAAGTAATCGGTAAACTAATATTACTTACTCTGAACAATACAGTGGTTTCATCTGGTTGGAGGCAAGAATGCCTGCAACAAAAGAGGAAATCATATAAAAATATTCTCAATACATTAATAAAATTAATATAACTGTTATAAATGTATGCAATTCTATATTTTAATTTTATAAGATTATTTTTTTACCTTCAATTGACTTTTTTATTTGAGAATATACATAATTGTATTTTATTTATATTGTTAAAACATAGTATGCAATTATATTTCACTAAATTTACATCAGAAGTATCACTCTTGATGGAGTATAAGACATGCATGACATTGTTGGAAGCTGGTGACTCAGGATCTTGCTTTGTGACACTACTTGGGAAACCTTTGTTCGGCAGTGGACTTGTGAAGGCCTGTAATGATTATGATAATAAAAATATCAAAAGCTTTATGTATACTCTTGTAGTTTTAGTGTCAATTATCAAGGACTTTTGATTTATCAATATACCATAATATTAAATCCATATGACACAAAAACATAATTTTTAGGATGTTACTGTTGTAATACTCGTATTTTTTTACATTCATTTACACATAAATAAAGTTTTTGATTAATGTAATGATTTAATAATCAAGTTTATGCAATATGTTTCTTACCAGGTTGTGGCAAAACAGGTTTGTTCACCACCATTGGGTTTGCAACTGTCTTTGGGGCCACACTGTAACAAAAATAAATAAGTTATTTTTAAATAAAATTTTGGCAATTCTGTTATGAAATATACATAGTAAAAAAAATTTGCATTGTGAAAATGATAAATGAGTTAACTAACAGTCCATCTGACGGTGAGTTGCTAATGCAGCTGTATTATAGCTGCGGCAAAAATTGGTAAATTGACTTCTGAAGGACTACAGTCTCACAGAAAATCAGCACAAAATAGCAGCAGAATGGTAGTATATGATGAGTGTATAGAAACTGAGTCCATTTTTACAGGTAATTGTTGATGGGTGACAGGTGGGATGACAGGTGATGGTTTGGCATTCCATCTTATTCTTCAGGGGTGATGCATATTCATACTTAAATGATGATATATATGTAGATATCTATGGGCCATAACATCTACTTATAATCAGGTCGACTGCATGTTCATGTGTATTTTTTCTTCTATAAAAAATTCAAATAGGATTGAGGTGCATTGTCACCTCTGAGGATTATAGATCGGATGATATTATAGATGCAATAATATATCTCATAGTGTGATTATACTTGTAATTCATATTCTTCCCTTAATAATGTCCTCCCGATTAAATTTCGGCCACAGCCTCAACGAAGGCTAGCCATCGGCACAGGACGGGATTATACTGCACAAGTGTATGCGCAAGCACAGGTGCACTCTCTATTCCCTCACTCTCATAATCCGATGGGACGGTAAACCGACACGACTAGAGAGAGATCAGGCACAGGACTAACAACTTTATGTGCTTTCTGAGGCACAGGGGTGAGACACCGCCAACTTCCTGACTCCGGGCAACTACTGAGAATTTCTTGACGGAAAAACTCAACAATTAATTCCTTGGCCCGACCCGGGATTTGAACCCAGGACCTCATGATCAGCAGTCGCACTACTACCATATGTTTCAACCACTAGAACAACGAGGCAGTCATTCCCTCACCATCATCAGTTTTTCCCTTACCATAACTATAACAGCCTATTAAGTTCCACTGCTGAACATAGGCATCCCCCATAGATTGCCTCATATTTGCCATAGTTGCCATGCAGGTTGGCAATTGCAGTTTATTCTTTTTAGTCATTATTAGAAAGACACTGCTGCTCATCTCCTGATTTGCTTCCCTCTATTGCCTGTTATTACACCCAGTATATACTTCCAATAAGAACAAAATGGTAATTAGGAATAGGAATACATAGGTAATGGGGATGGTATTTATCATCTAACAATTTTTACCTAGCTAGCAAAGGAACCCCTCGGTCTAGTAAATTTTATACAAATAAATAGTAAAAGTAAAAAGTTTAACTTAATTCTGTATTTCTATCTCAATACGCTAAACACAAATCCTACATACTGTGGTGATGGGGAACAACATTATCAGTGCTCTAACAATATCAACTTTGTATATGTGCCAGTTGGTAGTGCCCGCTGGTGAATTAACTTAGCTGCTACACTGCAGGATATGTTTTTGCAAAAACACAAATCATTGCTTTATATTGGTTATAATGGTCTCCAACGTTGCACCCTACGCCACTTTTGTTTTATTTATTATTTAACAGTGTTATTTCTTATTTTCAACAAACTGATAAGAGCAAAACATCATGGGGTTTTAGCAGATAGGAGTCCACATAACCTTCTTGCTGCCTCCAAGCAGAAAATTATCCACAGGCTGATAGGCAATGTTTTCATATAAAAATTATTCGTCACATTGTGTATCTGCAATTAATTCTTAACTTGCTGAACTGATTTCATTGAAATTTTGCACACTGTGCAGTTTGGCCCAACTTGAGAAATAGGATAGTTTTTATCCCAAAAAGTGACCATCAATATTTTTATTAAGAATTTAAAGATTTTTTATAGGATTTGTCCAAAAAAAATTTTGGGTCATCAAAGAGGAAAGTAGAATGTCTGCCTGGCTAGCTAGTTACAATATAAAATTATGCCCACTTTAGTGTTGCAGCTCATATTATTGAATCTAGTACATATATTTTTATTATTTGTTCTAGATGATAAATTCTTTAAGGTCATCCTCCAGAGACCATACCATACAGTGGACCCCCAGTAATCCAACCTCTGCCTAATCCATCCCCCCTTGTAATCCGATATGTCTTTGTCTTGAAGGTAGATTTTGAGTCATGCTATGAATCCACCATGGGGAGAGGTGTCCTTTGCGAATACATGGACAAACAGGGTGCAATTAGTTCGAGCCACCACTAATCTCGCTTGACGCATTTGTCTCAGTTCAAATGTGACTATGGTAGCAGCTTAGTCGAGCGATAGTGACCAATTAGGTATTCACTGTGCATCACATTACATTTTTATTATTTTGTATTGGAGTATATATTCTGTCGGATTACAAGATACTCTTTTCCAAAAAGTTCTGGACTACCAGGGGGTTGTGGCAGTACTCTATAGTCCCACAAATTTGATAATCGGACACTGTCTTGCAAAACATTTGTCAGATTACCGTGGGTCAACTGTATTTAACAATGACAATCTACATCTATAAGAGGTGGAATCCATTTTGTATATCAGTTCATCTGGATAGAAACCACTTTCTTACCTATTTCTGCCACCAAATGGCACTGCTAGCATTCTATGCTCGGGTCTGAGGTGTATAGAGATCTAGTATAATTACAGGCTGTATGGCATTCTGCCTTAGTCCTCACCAATGAAAAAAAATCATTAGCCTTCTTTTTTGAAGTTGGCTTCAGGTGTCTATGGTATGCAATAACTACTTGCCATTAGATGGACTGTAAGTTAGCTGTCACTAAATTTATTAAAAAAATGTGCTATGTAACTTATGTAGTATGTACATACATATCTTCATGAAATTGAAAAGAAAATATGTTCATAGTAATCAAACCTTTCCTTAAATATATTAATAGTTATTTTGCAACCATCCGCTAAATAAAATAAAATGATGTGTCTTCCTTGGTTTGAAGAGCACCTCCCGCCCTCCCTCAATTGCATGCACTAATCCTGTCACCACCCACCACAGCAACACTACTCCCAACGTTACTACTCTCCACTGGGGATCCCAGCAACACTACTCCCAACGTCACTACACCCTACTGGGAAGACACATCATTTTATTTAATTTAGTGGATGGTTGCAAAATAACTATTAATATCTGTATTACAATGGATTTCCGCAAAGTAACACCTGATTCTATCAAAACCTTTCCTTGTCCTATGAGTAATATGAACTATTCATTTTTAATTTTTTAGCACTAATTATATTACTTTAATCCTAATGAAATCATCTGTTTAATAATTACAATGGTGTTGTCAAATACGTAAAATTTTGCTTAAAATAAATATACATGTATTGCTAAGGAAAACAACATTTGTGTTAATTTAAAAAAAATATTGCGTTCGTCATGTGCGTATGTTTTTAAAGCAGAATAATTAGGTAAAATCTGGATATTTACGATAGATGTGAGCAGCGCGCCGGCCTGACGTGTACATTGGCGGCTTTCAACCGTCGTGCGAGCTCTCGGTAGGTGTCGGGGTCCGCCTCGATTTCAACCTCGGCCTTTAGCAACGAAAATTTCATGCGCCAACCTCGCGCTTCTACTCCGTGCACCAATCGAGCTCTGAGAACTACCCCACGTCCTAAATGCCGCGCACTCAGTCTCTGCTCGAGAACGAGCATAATACTCGTCAGCTATAGTCCTGTCTAGTCAAATTGAAGAAGATGAAGGCTCCAGAACCGACACGGTACGCCAAACCACCGGCAACCACCATAGCTGATCTACGGGCCGCCTCAACAACCATTTGTCACGATTACGGAAGGTCCCGCACTGCACTGGCTCAATAAAAACTAATGTATTGTCTGTTTAGTTCACTTGTCTAACATTATTTACAAATGAGCAACGAAAGACTGGTAGCGAAGTCAAAATGTTTCTATGTACAACACTACGAAAAGCCGTATAACAGTACAAATATAAACTATGTAGTACACCGTGAATTAACACTAGTTAAATGCAGTTAGCGAATTTTGAGCTATCAGCGGAAAAATAATAAAGAATAACAGAAAAATGCAACTAAACAGCCGACACAACACGAACGTCTGGCCTGGATTGAATGGTCGCTGTCGCTGATTGGTCGATGACGAGCGAGGCGCTTTGACGATTGGATCTAAACCGGTTAAATTCGGTTCGCAGTGGCCAGACCCGGCTCGCGTAAGTGCATCTGGCAACGTCACAGCGAATAGTGATGGGCGAGTCAAACCATTTAATTCTAATTTATTTCGAGTTATTCTGCCAACGAGTTGAATCGAGTTGCTTTTCGAAACTCAAATTATCTCACTCGTTCCTTTGTTAAAGTTAATAACTATGCGTTACTATCTTTATTTTTTGTTCATTTCACTCACCAAATCGGATGTGCTTAGGTTAATCCCGTGTTGTACGTAATCGAAATCGCGTCGTAGACGACTAAAATCGAAAGAAAACCTAGTCTGAAAAATCTTACTTGACAAAATTTCATGTATTCAAGATGCTTTTTAAGTACTATTCTCTTCTCCAAACCGACTCGAACCAACTTAATGTTATTATTCGATTAAAAACTCCAACGCTAATGTCATTCGTACAAGAAAATATCGTTTTTCGATTCAATTCAAATTAAGCGCAATAGAACCGATTCTCAATTAAATCGAGCTTTGCAAGATCGATTTTCGATTTATTATTTTTTAAACGCGCTGACCAAAGAATACGTGGAAAATATTTTTTTATAATACGTGAAAGATAATTTTTATTATTTATTTCACTACAAAAACAGAATTGCATAATAGGTTTATACGTGGTAGAGCCACGCTGCAACTATAGGTATTATGGTTGTAGCATGAATGGGTCGGCTCGACCGTGGAAGGACCACACTCTCACAAAATACCAGCGTAAAATAGCAGCTTAACACTGCTGTGTTTCGTATGGTGAGTGTAGATATCCGGAGACCTTTTTTTTTACTGGAAATTAGGCATTCCCTCTTAGCCC